GGGTGTTGGTGCTCAATAAGTGTCTGCTGAACAAATGAACGTACGCATTGCCCAGTCAAGTAAACATTCTGTCCTTTTCCCTGACAAAGCAATGGGCATCAGTACAGGGGAACTGGGAACCTGTGTTGCCTAGGACACTAGAAAGATGCGATGAAGTTGGACAAGAATTATGGCATGTCAGTGGGGTAGAAAGGAGCAGGATACTTAGTTAGGTACACCCAAACTTTGCCTGTGACTTGTGGCACCCAAAATGTTGATGCCTCCTCTCTGGGCCTCAGTTTCTCTAACTCTGATCTCATCTAGCACTGCCTGTTCTGCATTCCTGTAGGATAGTTGTGTAGAGCAAACAAGGTGGTTTATGGGAAAGTACTTTGTGTACTATACAGCACTGTCTTAGTTTCCTAGGGCTGCCATATCAAAGTACCATGAGTTGGCTGGCTTAAAACAACAGAAATTTATTGTCTCACAGTTCTGAAGGCTAGAAGTCTGAAACCAAGGTATCGGCAGGGCCATGTATCCTCTGAAACCTGTAGAGAGAATCCTTTGCCTCTTTACCTTCTGGAGTTTGCTGACAATCCTTGGCTTTCCTTGGCTTGCAGACACAACACTCCCATCTCTGCCTCCATCATCACATGGCCATCTTCTCTCTGTGTGCCTCTGTCTCTGTGTCTCTTCCCCTCTTCTTATGAGGACAGAAGTCACAATGGGTTAAGGGACCACTCCTCTCCAGTATGACCTTATCTTAACTAATTGCAACTGCAATGGCCCTATTTCCAAATAAAGTCCCATTCTGAGGCACTGGGAGTTAGGACTTCAACATGTCTTTTTGTAGCACACAATTTAATCCACAGCAAGCGCCATGTGAATAAAAGTACCACATTTAAAAACCAGTGAAATAACGATAGGCTAGGACATTCAGAGTATCCCGTCTGCTGAGAACAATGAGAAAAGCTGGAAAAATATTTTTAAAATTCTGCTTGAAGTTATGGAGTATTAGCAGGCAATGAAGAATAACAAAGCCAAGATTCAGGAGAAGAGAGGAATCCGAAGAGGCAAGCCTGGCATTTGGGGACACTCTTCCTCTGAAGACGCCTGCCACCTGTGGAAGAGCTGGCTAAGAGGCTGAAAGGTTGAGTAGCACTTTGGAAAGTTTGTGGAGCTGGGGAAACCAAAGCTGGAGTCCCATTTCTCAAGTGCTATACCCTCAGAGTAAAGGTGAACCTCAAGCAACTGGTTCTGAACCTGGTTCTCACAGGTACAGAAGCACTTCAATCCCTGGAACTGGGTGACAGTGATAACAGATTGCTGGCACTCCAGGGCCTGCCAGAACCAAATATAAATTCTCCCTGAAGGAAGATGAAATTGCCCAAGGCCTCAAGTTAAGTTTTCACCTAAGATGTCTTACACTCAATCAAAAGGAAACAAGTATGTGAAGATATAACACGATATGAATGGAACTCAAGTAAAACAAAGGGCAATAGAAACAGACTCGCAAGGGCTAAAAATAAAGGTGTGATCAGACATCGAATTAAAAAAAAAAACTATGTTCAAGAGATAAAAGATAAAACTAGAAAGTTTCTCAGAATACTAGAAACAAAGCAAAACAAAAAGAACACACAGAAATCCTGAAACGAAAATAAAATAACTGAAATTAAGAATTCGATAGGTGGGTTTAGCAACAGCTTAAATGCAGTTTTAAGAGAAAATCAGTGAACTAAATGATGGGTCCAAAGAAAACACCTAGTTTGAAACTCAGAGAGACTTAAAGATAGAAAATAAAGATGAGGGAATTTCTCTGTATCTTCTCAAACCTCCTTTACATCTCAGCTAAAATTCTACCACGCCCTCTAGCCAAGACCAGCTCGTAACAATACTGTGTTTGTTGCAACTTAATTTTGTTCCTCTCCACTGGCATTTTAATTTACAAGCAAGCAAGCAAGCAAGCAAACCACTTCTTTTGTCCAGGTTTAATAAAAAGAAATAGTGGTAATTAACAGAATAAAGTAAACTTAAAAAAAAAAAAAAGATCAGAGGGAATGAGGTCTAGGGGATGCAATAGAAAGGACTAATACGCAATTAGAGTCACAGGAGAAGAGATTGAGAATTGAGCAGAAAAAATAACAGCCAAGAATTTTTCAAAACAGAAAAAAGACATCAAACACAGACCCAAAATCTTAAATGGATGAACCCCACACAGGATAAACAAAAAAGAAAACTATACCTAGATCCATCATAGTAAACTGCCGTGCACCAAAGATAAGGTGAAAATCTTCCAAGCAGCCAGAAGGGAAAAAGACAGACTATTATAAAAAAGTAACAGTAGAATTAACAGATAATTTCTTAATGAAAATATTGGAAGCCAAAATACACTGGAATATTGTCAAAGTATTGAAAGAAAATATCCAAATGTTTAAAAAACAAAAAGAAACCACCAATTAACACCAATCTTACATAACTTCTTCTGGAGAACAAAAGAGATGGTACTTCCCAATTCATTTTATGAGACTAACCAAGCCATGTCAAAGACATTACAAAGAGTAAAATTATAGGCAATCCTTCTCATGAGCACGGACATAAAAATCCTGAAGAAAAGAGGAGAATGAATCTAGCAATATATAAAAGTGATAATATAATACATCACAAGCAAGTGGGTTTAATGCAAGAATGCAACTCAACGCAGTATCAAAATAAAGGGGAAAATCATATCAATAGATTCAGAAAAATAATTTGATGAAATTCAATATCCATTTGTGATAAAAACTCCTTGCAAACTAGGACTAGATAGGGACTTCCCGTATTTGATAAATGATTTATAAATATCCATAGTACTCATTATACCTAATGTTTTTTTTCCTGCTGATATCAAAGACAAGACAAGGATGCCTGAATCACCACCTCTATTAAACATCGTACTGGAAAAAAGAGGCATAAGGGGGAAAAAAACTCACTTATAGATATTTTGATTTTGTGCATAGAAAATCCAAAAGAATCTTTGTACAAATTTCTAGAATCGATAATTAGTTGGGAAATATGAGATCAGTCTGGAAAAATCTCTTGTATTTCTAGACACCAAGAATAAATACTTAGAAATAAAAAAAATTGTTACAATTCATGCTAATATCCAAATATGAATTATCTGGGAATAAATAGAAAGATATGCAACATCAGTATGCAGAAAATTCCAACCTATTATTTGGAGAAAATTTTCAAGTCCATAAAAAATGGAAGAACATACCATGTTCATGGTTTTGAAGATTCAAATTTGTAAAGATGTCAGTTCTCCCCAAACTGGTCTAGAGAGTCCATGCAATTTCAATGAAAACCATAAGAGCTTTTGTTTGCTCATTTTGTGGAAACTGTTAACAGATAAGCTGATTCTAAGTTTCACGTGGAAATGCAAAAGGCCAATAACAGACTTGCTCCACTGGATACTGAAACTTACAGAGCAATAGAGAGTGTTACTTTTGGCAAAAAACAAACAAACAAACAAACAAACAAACCAACGTAATGAAATAGAAAGCCTGGCAACAGTCTCAGGCGAATATATGTTCATACACAGAGAGACCAGTGTTGTTAGATTTCTGGAGCAGCAGGCTTATGCTCTGTATTTACTGATTTCCAATTCTGGACCAGTCTTCGGTAAGGCTCTTCTCCTATCTGGACTTCAGTTTCTTCATCAACAACATCTATAATCTGGACTAGGTTACAAAATTCTGATTTGAAATAAAAACAATCAGAATAATAAGCATTTGCAGTTTGCAGGGTCTCCCCAATTCTCACTTCCACCTGAAAGCAAGATAATCTTCCAAGAAACCATTCCCCCTCTGCTTTCTGGGGAAAAGGAAAAGCAGGGATTTATGCCCTGTGTCCTGCCACCTACAGATTTTAGTATAAAATATTGCAGACAGTCTGAGTATAAAGGGTACAGACTGCTGAGTTTTGCACTGTTTCTCATTTAGGAGGCATCCACCACAAGGTAGTGTATGAATCAGGTAGACCTTGGTTTTAAAACACTATTTTTCATTTACATGTCTATCAAGTTTCCAATCAAACTATTTCGGCTCTCTGAGCCTGAGTTATTCTTATCTGTGAAAGGACAGTTATTGTGAAGATTAAATTGAATAATGCTTGTAAAGCACTTAGGACAGGGTCTAGCACACAGTAAGTATTAAAAAGCGAAAGCCATTACTGAAAATATACTGGGGCTGGATGTTGGGACTACGGTAATAGGGAAGACAGGATAACAGAAATAATAAACCAGACCTGTGAGGGTTTATCACAGTGCCTAATGTGTGGTTAATGTTCAATAAATATTTGTGGAATGGGGAAGTTACTAATTTACCAGGCTTTCACAGATCCTTGTTTAGAGTGTCACACTTGTTTTGAAATAACTGGATTCCTAATATGTTGCTGCCTTCCATTATTATCGAAGGCTGGGCTCTCTCCGTGGCCCCAATACCACCCCCGTCGCCCCTCCACCCCCCATGCACATGCACACCTGGCCTCAGCTAACGTCTTTTCTCTTTCCATCCTACGCGTATGGGGCCCCCTCTGCCTTGTGTGGTCAACTTGAGCCTGGGTATCCTGCAACCTGGCTAAACCCCAGTTGATTTACTGAGGGTCTACGTTACCAAGAAACTCCTGATACAAAACAGCCTATAAAGGGAACTATTTCAACACCAACCAGAGGCTGGGTATTACAAAGCCCTATTCCAGAACTTACACCTGAGGCCTGAAACATTTGCCTGGAAGGGAGGGGTGGCCAGGGCTCCTCCAGGGGGCGCTGCAGCACTCTGTTCTCCCCTGCTGGGACCGTCATATGACTCCTGGTTACCCCACAGTAGGGGAGTGCGTTAAGTCCCCCCGCCACCCCTAAGATACCACAAACCAAGGTGCTTTTAAAGTCACAGATGAATGTGGTAATTAATGGAAGTGGCTTTCCTAATGACCGTTTTTGACTTGTGAGCACAACAGCATCCTGTTCTTCCCTCTCTCTGTAGGGAGAGTGACACCTGTCACCGGGGTGTTTGGCCAGCTTCCTGCTTCTTGCTGCTCCTCCTCCTCCTCTCGCCGTTCCCGGTAAGAGACTCTGAAACTTGCTTGGAAATCCATTAAAACGTTTAAGAAACATTTTTCTCCAACAGTATTTTCTCCCTAATTATTTGTCAAAGGTTCCTCTTGTTGGATGTTTGGTGGAATTAGAGTGTCAAATAGTTGATGTGCACCCCAGACGAAGACGACTTCACCGTTCCTCCATCCCTCAGCCTTCTCTGTTCTAGCTACACAGCTCTACTGCCCTTGAGGGTCCCAGATCGTGCTGGCCCTTCCCTGAATTCAATCCCCGTTCTCGCTGAGTCACAAAATGGAAGTCATCACACAGTTTGCACAGCAAATTGTCACCAAAAGTGTGTGATCGCCCCCAATCTGTAAAACCTGAAGAGTACTACACTCTTAGTATCCGTCACCTTGTAAAGCACGCTGAGGAAAAGTGACTGCAGCCGCCACCACAATCACATCTAGGGCTCACCCTTCGCTTTGATTTCCTGAGTCCAGCGATAAACCAAGTCAGTCTTTATGATAAACTGTTTTTGAAAGAAGCAAGGGCATTAAGTGATTTAAATTACCCACATGCTCCCTGTAAGCTCTGCATCTATCCTAGCATCCTTGAAAGATAGGGGACAACATCGTCATCTAACAAAGCCCTGTGTACATACGGCAGGGCAGAGGTTGGGAATTTGCACACAGGCAGGAGCCTCGACCTTGGACCCACTGAACCTTGAAGAGCTGTGACCCACCGGCTCACCTCCCCCAGACATCAGGGCCCACATTCACATGTGATGAGCTCACACCTCTCACATTGGCCCCTGGCCCCCACCCTGTGGAATGGAGCATTTCGGCCTCTGTGGTTTTCTCTGGCACAAAGGACGTCTATTTCAGCATCAAGCGAACTTTCTTCATGAGAATCTAGCTCTGAGTTTTAAGAATCAAAGCCAATAAAAATAAAACATTTATTATAGTTTACAACTAATTTTTAGGAACATATGTACTATACTCTCAATGCATAGTCTTCATAAATATTATCTACTTGTAATGAACTGAGCTATTTCACCAAATTACCTTTAAATCGAATTTCCAGATCTCTGATGAAAATGTAGTCCAGCCTCTGGGAATCATAGATTCAAAGGGAGTTTACAAAGTAAAATCTTTGGATCTTATGCTATATTGTATGGTTACTGTGTGGCCTAGGATTCTGTTAATACTTTACTCAGATCACCTCATTTAATCCTCACAACAACCCTAACAGGTAGTTACTATTATTCTCCCATTTTACAGATGGGGAAACTGAAGCGTAGAGAGGTTTTTACCTGCCCATAGTCATAGAGCTAACTAAGTGGCAGAGCTGCCCTCCAGCAGTCTGGCTCCACCGCTCTTAAGTTAAGCATTCTTCCCAGAATGTGAAGAGAATGGCAATGTGTGATGCATTCACTTTGTGGGAAATAAAAGTTTAATGTTTAATCAGCATATGTTTAAAATCCATTAGCATTACCTTGAGGGCACCACACTCCTGAATTCCAAGCAATGGTGACTTGCGGTCCCTACTTTCATTCCCTCCCCACTCGTGGGACTCCGTGTCATGGCCCTGCTCAAGGTCACACAGCCCCGTCATCGTGTTCAGAGTCATTAGTGGAAAGGGCCTGACTTTCTTGCTGCAGGATGAGTTAAGACAACTGAAGTGACCCACCCAGGACTATTTCTCTCCCTCCTGCTGCTGAAAAGACACCACACCAGGAAAAACAGGAAGCTGGTTACCAAATACGCCAGAACAACAACTCCACTGTCGGGAGCGACTGGCAAGAAGCACAGCCACTGCCGTGTTCCTGGGCCTCCTGCCTGGAAGGAAGCAGCCAGCCCCAGGGGAGTGCTGGGCGTGCCACAGGCAGCCCTGGGTGAGCACTGAGGCTTGTTCCTCCTAACAGGTCATTCAGCCACCGGGGCAGCCCGCTACGCCCCAGGATACAGAGTGGAAAAAAGGATCCGCGTTTACTGGGCACCTGCCAGTGTTTGTTCACAATCCCAGTCCCATACCTGGAAGGTGGGTAATGATTTCCATGGCATAAATGAAGGCAGTGGGGCTCAGAGAGCTTGACTGATTTGTTCAGACAGGATGGAACGGGCAGGGGTTGGAACCTGGCTTTGTCTACCTTCAAAGCCCTCAATTTGATACATTTTCCATCATGCCACGCTGTAACATTTCTTTCTCAAATTTAACCAACAGGGTATCTTGATTTTTATTAGACAGCAAAAAAAAAAAAAAAAGAATTCAAAAACAAAAACCACCAATGAATCTGAATCAGTATTGGTTTCTTTAGAGAAAAATACTTTATGCAAAATTTCAAAAAACTTTCAAAAACAAACAAAATAGTTACAGAATTATGACAAAGACTAAATACCAACATTGGGTAAAGGCTGCATACAAACTAAAAAGAAAAACACAAGACCACCCCCGATTAGTACTATAAACAGAAATACTAATCTCTAAAAAATTTAGAAAAAAATTCAACCTCCTATTAATTCAAAAATGCAAAAATAAAAGCAATGTATGTTAGCTATTAAATTGGCAATTAAGAATTTATAGAACGCAATGTTGGCATAAGAACATACTACTGCTAGAAGTATAAATTGCTACTATCCTTTCGGAAAGCAATTTAGTAATTTGTACCAAGAGTTATAGAAGCTTTTGTACTCTCCTTCACCCAGTAATTCCATTTCCTGAGTCCATCCTAAGGAATTAATTTAAAATATGAAAAAGTTATATGCAGCATGGATGATTTCTCTTCTGTATGACTTATAAGCGGGGGATGAGTGGAAAGCAGCCTAAATGTCATTTCTAATAAGTATGGGTATATTTAGTCAATAGAGTATTACTCAGTCATTAAAAATGACTGTGACAGCCTATGTACCAAGATGGAAAAATACTGTTCAATGCAACATTAAGGAAAGAATGACTGGGGTAAGGTTGTAACAATGTAATTTATGCAAAATGTGATTATGCAAACCTGTGATATCACTTTCACAAAAAAATTTACCCATGACAAGAGACTAAAAGGAAATACACCAAAAAGAGAAAAGAGGGTCTATTGTTCAAAATATTTTATGCAGGTTCTTCTGATAGGTTTGCATGCATTTGCCATCTCTTCTACTTTCCACTAGGCATTTTGTTTGTTTGTTTTTTAACAAAAGAGAACCACGTTTGGAATACTCCTCTTGCCTGCTGTGACCGCCACTGGCTCACTTGGTGGGCACTACCAAGGGCGGCTGGCAGCATCCCCTCTTTCATGTGGTTTTCTGCGTGTTTGTATCCTTACTCGACAAAAGTTACTTTTGTTTCATTAACCACTTGCGGTTTAGGGGCTACACTGAGGGCTACCAGGGAAGACGACAGCAAACTTAAGGTAAAAGCTCTTTTAGGTTTCTTTTAAAACCTAAAAGAAAAAGAAAAGCCGAGGACTTTGTTCGTTTGTTTTGCATCTCAGGAGCACAGGGTCGCATTCACCATACGTAACAGTTCTTAGCACATGATTCACACTGTCTGGACAAAAGCCTTGTTTGTATGCTTTTATTTCCTTTTATACCTTTAGGCCACTTCCATGCCCCTCACCCCACAGGCAAACTTTCTAATGTGCTTGAGGTGTATCTATGCTTGCAAGAGTGCTCGCAAAATGGGCAAAGGGTTTTCCTGGGTGCCTATTTTTTAACTTCTGGAAATACTAGTTTGTGCATCTCATTCTTATTTTTCCCACTAAGCACTATATTCTTAAGATTCACTCACATTGCTATGAGCACAGTTCTTAAGTGCCTTGTGATAAATACAATGACGTGTGTATGTGTCCACCAGGGCATTTAGTGCTGTGTACTCTCCCCGCCTGTCACTCCCTCTCTCTCCCTTGCCTCTTTCCTCAGCTCTCCCACTTGTCCTGCACACGTGCTGCGTGTGGACTGTATGCATAGCATCGACAGTGTCAAGTGAGTATGATTAAAGTTTTTTAAGTCCCTTTATTTTTTTTTAAAGAGAAAGTTGTACTTGAGAGACGCAACTTTCAAGAATGCATTTTCCTTGTATGTCAAGTCTCTGTGATAAAATAAAACAAAAGTTGAAATAAAAAAATTATACTCTTAATTCCCTCATCCTCTCCTAGACCTATTTTGAAGCAGCTGCTTTGAGAAGAGCCATACGTGACCACCTAAGACCATCAAGGCGAGGACCCGAATTCCAGAGATGTCAGAAGGCTGCACGGCTGTTTGATGACACGATTCTGTAATCTAGGATCTCTGAGGTCAAGCTTTGATCCTGAAATTGACACTCTGGGAGCCATGTATGTCTCAGCAAGTGCACGCAGCAGGAGAGAGACAAAGGAAGCAGGTTTTTAGCTGGGACAGAGGCAGGAGTAATGTCCCCACTGGGCTCCGTGCCCCGCCTGTGACCCCTACCACAGTCAAAGCTGTTTACTGACTGCGACTCTCTTCAGTGCTGAACTTTATGTTCAACCACGTGGCTTCGCACAGACTCCTTCCTTTGCACCTCATAAAGAGAATGTGTGGGTCAGGGTAGGTGTCGTCAGCTGCGGGTTAGGAGGGGAAAAGTTAATGCTCAGAGGGTGAAGTGATTTACTCGAGGTCAAGTCAGAGAGGCAGAAAGGGGTGAGAACGACAGTCCAGCCTCAGCGGGTGGGATCCTCCCTTGCTCCCTCCCCTCCACCACGGTGAGACGGCACACCTGTGTACTCTTTAGAAATCGGGGCTCGAACATTCTATGCCAACCAAGACACCCGTGATTCTTGTCCTAGTGACTCCGCTCTAGAGATCGTATTTCTCCCAGTCCCTCCCTCCATCCCTCCCATGATCCTGGTGAACCATGCATGGAGGCACTCGTGAAAGATGGGAGCCCCGAAGGACCAGCTCCTCCCCTACTTGCAGGCATCTTTTTTTGGAGCTGGAAAGGATCTTAGAAACTGTATCCGCCGTTCTGGCAAGAAACAGATGGCACTCTCAAACTGGGTGATTTGAGGAGCGTTTAATAAAGGGACCATTTACAGAGGGGTGGGGAGGCGGTAGGGGAAGCATGGCGCAGTGTTCTGGGTCTGGTAGCAGTGCCACGTTTACACCCCTAGGACCAAAGGGGTGAAGGAGGAGAGGCTACTGGAACCCGAGGCAGACTGCCCTGGGGAGAGGGTTGCCTGCCAGGAGCCCAGACCTGCTGATGCCACAGGGAGGAGCCCGGAGATTCAGTATTTGGTCCTTGCTCTCCTTCCCTCCCAAATCCCGACACGTTCCTATTGTGCCAAGATGACAAGAGAAGGCCAGGACGAAAGGGAGCCCAGCCCATTCATGTAGTCCCTACTGGTCAGCTTCTAGAGCACAGCGAGGATGGGGAAAGGTGGAGAGTGGATCTGGAGGGGCAAACAGAAAGCATCCAGCCTAAGAACAAACTAACCCGGCCCCCTACCATGAAAGGTACTATACCTCTGGGGAAAAGGCCTGGCCCAGAATCTCAGAAGATGAGCTGCATAGCTGGACTGGAAACTCAGTCCCTGGGAGCCAGTCCACACTCCTCCACGCTCCATTTGACCTGAGGATTCCTCTTCCCATAAGCATGACTCAAATCTTGAAAAATAATAGGCCTTCAAATCACCTGGAAATTGTTTATTCTCATGGTCTGTATATTCCAACACTACCCTTTACTGGTATAACTCCCCGGAGCTACACCCAAAATGCCAACTTTGCTCATACTGTATGTTACACCTTCGACAGGAGAGGTCTACCAGGTCAGAATAAAACATTTTGCAGCAGGTACACCCACGCACACACAGACTGGGGAGGAGAACATGTATGCGGTTCTGCTGTGACCTCAGCTGTGGCACAAGAAAGTCCTTCCAGCCAACCTCCCAGTTCCCAGCCAGCCCCTGGCCTTCGGTGAACTGGCAGAGCACTCTCCCATTCTACTTACATACAGAAATAGCAACTGTGCATTGACCCAAGAGTTGCCCAGGCCTGGAAAAATCCTCCAGGATATTTTAGAAATCACATGTTCTTCCAAGCATTTTTAAAGTTGACGGGGGAACTGGCTGGCTAAAAAAAATGGGCAAATGACTGAGATCCTTTTTGTAGGCATTCTCTGCTCTACAAATTAAAAACGGAAGATCGAAATCTTATTTGACTCTCAATTTCCTTATAAATCCTATAAACCTTACCCCCTATATAAAGCAAGACAGGCTTCTGAATTCTTTGGATGACAGTCTTTTCTCAAGAAAACCATGAAAAGACTATCAATGACTAATCTCATGAAGATATTAGCATGATAGTTCTACAAATGCAACATTAAAAACACCAGAGAACTCTTGTTTGGCTTCTCAATTTTTACATTCCTTCATTCCGTCTCTAAACGCTTCCTGAGTCCCCGTGTTTGAAGCTGCAGGCAGAACAAAGAGAGGCAGGTGGGTACGAAACCGCAAAGGAAGCTTCTCCCACCTTCTTCTGTCTCTTGGAGGCAGAGGTGAGACACTGAAAACTTCAGAACAGAGCAGTGATTAGACTACATCGTGTTTTGGCAAGTTCTGCTGGAAAGAGGTAGGGGATGATGATGATGAAACCTAGAGGCAGGAAGCCTCATGAGGAGGCTGCTGTAAAACCACAGTTAAGATGTGAGGTTGGGCAGAAAAACTACTTTCCCAGATCAGAGAATGTGGACAAGGAAGTAGTAGAGTTCTGAGCCAGGTCTGCATGATTCAGCAGCAGGGAAATGTGTCCTGGACATGTGGGAAGGACAGAGACTCCTGGCAGGAGACATGTTTTCTCCATGGAATAAAAGGCTGAGTGGAGAGCTGCAGGCTGAGCTCCAAGACAAGGGAGCTGTGACACTCCCGGTCCCTCGTCTCAGAGTCTGGTATCCGCAGGTGCTGATTCTTGGGAGCTTGGCGGAGCAGTGCTCTGGCCAGGGGGTTGGAGGGGACCTCTTGCCCCTAATGGGCTCCCCACGCTCCCATTCTGTTTTAGTGAGTCACCCCTGGAGCCAGTTCTCTCTCTGCACAGTTCTTCACACTGCGAGGTCCTTTCTCAGCTTGGGCGAGATTCGTGCCCTGGGTCTCCCGCCCACTGGGACGGGTCCTTTCCTCTGAAGCTGGATAGAGAGGCATCGCTCCTCTTGCATGCACAAAAGGGGGCCAAGGAAGGACCCTCCCCCAAAAGAAATTAGTGCCAAACAACCCAAAAAAGAACCATAACTAGCTTGGCTCTGCTCAGCAATCTGGCTTTTTTTTCTCTGCTAAAGAGACAAATACCACAGAATCCAGTTCAAAGTGTCAGTGAAGAGCTTGTTCTGCTGGCGGTCTGCTAGGCAGCCAGCCTTGGAGCTGACTTTATTCTACAGAATTCTTCATGTTAAGGAGATTTACTACGCAGTCCTCCAGCTCCACACAGGCTAAAAGGGAAGTCCTGATGCTTACAGGAGTGTGTCGCAGGGATCTTGTGAAGGAGGTAGAGCCACCAGTCTTTCTGTGATGGCCCATGCACGGGCTGTCTGAGTCAACCAGTTACCTAGCAGACGCAGTGGCGGTACAAGGCTGGCTTGGGGACCTGGCGCCAGCCAGAAGCAACTGCGTGTGGACTTGGCAGGAACTCTGCCCCAGCAGTGGCGGCACCCTGACCTGTCGTAGCTTCCCTGGGGAAGAGTACAAATGCAGGGTGGACGAGAGAAGAGAGGCTACTGGGCTTCTGTCCCGAGGCTCCGAGCTTGTGCTTGGCGTATGATGAAGCCAACACGCAGCCCAAACTGACGAGAGCCTGGTGGAAGCATGACACAGCCTTTGCTGACTGCTTGCCTGGACAGCCTTGTGATGTCTCTCACGATAACAAGGCCCTCTTTGCCTGGCTCTTGTTGACCCTAAGGGCCCAGATATGTGTTGTTTCTCTCTCTCTCGCGCTGTATCAAGAATTACACAAATTACCTAAAACCCCTATTGAGGAAACGGAGAGGCCTTATTCATCAATCCTCATGTCCCCTTCTCCCACAAATGCAAGCTCTCACATCCAAACAACTCCCCCCACTCCTGCCCCTACCTCCAAAGGCAGCCTTATACCTCAGGGCTCAAAGCTGTTTTGCAGCAGCTGTGATAACAACAAGGAGGCCTCTCCAGTGAGTCACCATTTCAAAGTATGTGCATACACATTCCCTCATTTCTCCTAACAGCTGCCCTTCCTTCACCTCTCAGCAGCTTGAGATGGAGAAGGAGGTAGCTACCAGCAGCTTCCTCGTTGAATGACAAGGTCCTCCTCAGGAAAGTCAGCAATCAAATTGGCTGCCGTTTCCCAAGTCTTCATTTTTTCATAGGACTCACACTCTCCACCGAGCCCTCGTGTTAGTTAGCAGTGGTCCAGGCTGCTGGTTGGTTCTCTAACGGCCAGAAAACAAGAAGTCCACCATCATCTGAAATAGTCTCCAACAACGAGCGGGGCCTACCTGGGACCTGCTCTCAACCTCAGGGGAATGGTGTTTCCTGGAGCGCGGCCTGCACGGGTTTCATGATGAATGGTGACCTCTGGAGTGGTATGAAACTAGGCACCTGGGACTCTCTGAGACGGGGTCCTGGGATCCACCAGCACTCGCCACGGCCACATCTCTCTTTGAGGAAAGAAGCCGTAATGCATCCTGTGGCTAAAGGACAATGGTCACCCCTGTGCAGCCCGGCGTAAGGCTGCCTGACTGTGATGTTCTTCACTGAGTAGTGACTCACCGACCCAAGACGCTGCCTCTTTCGGGGGGTCTGGATGTGAGATGCAGCAGTGGTCGCAGAGACAGCAGCTGGGGTGAGACAGTAGAGAGAGGAGAGGAAGCAAGAGAAAGTGGGCAAAGGGACCAGCTTCCTACGCCTGGAGGCCTCCCTAGGGCAGGGAGCCACAGACGCCCAATTCTAAAGTGACAGAGGACAGCGGGTTCCCAGAGCTCCTGGTATGTCCTGAACAATGAGGAGCCAACCAGCCTGCAGGGAAGTACAGAAACCCATGGTGAATGGACTGTGTGTTGCTGGGGCCCGTGCTGAGTTTGCCCTTGTCCCTGGGGGATCTTCACGAGGAGCACCCATCCTCTGAGGCAAGCAGGGTGTAGCTCCTTTAAACTGAAAGAGCTTAACTAGAAGAGGGAGGAATTATCACTGAGGAATAACTGAGCTTCAAAGAGATTAAGTGACTTGCTGATACAGACACCGATGGCTGCTGACCCATCAAACATTCCCCTGTCTCCCTTTCTAATAGAACCCTGATTTCCTTAGGGATGGCAATGTGCCAGCTACGACTTCTCCCACAGAGTCCCTCGGAGCTAGGTGGTCACATGACAAAGTCTGGCCAGTGAGACATAGGCTGAGAGTTTCAAAATAAGCTTTTGCTTTTCTGACGTAGGACTTGTCCCCTGACCCTTCTTCCCGCCTGGATCCGTCAGGATGAGATCTCACAATGCAGCAGCCACCTTGGAACCATGAGGATGAAAGCCACATGCCAAAGACAGTACAGATAGGAAGATAAGAGATTGGGTCCCTCATGACACTGTATGAATCCAGAACTTATAATGTCAGAAAAGTAACCACCTACTTGTTTCAGCCACTGCTGGGTGGGTTTTCTCATTTTTATGGCTGAATGCATTTCTAGCGGATATACCTAATCTAAGTCACAGAGCTGCTGGTAAATGGTGAAGCTGGGACTCGAACCAAGGTCTGTACAGCTCTAGAGGCCACCTTGCTTGTTTTCCCAGGACAGTACTACTTCTAGCTCCTAGGACAAGAGGTCTGCAATTTAAACAAGATGGTGTATGTAAAGCAGCACTTGACACATCATAGCAAATGCCCACTAAATACTAGCCGCTGTTATCACCATTATTATCAGGCCACGCCCCTTAAAGCCCCTCTGTTTTAAGAGACCACAGACGAACCGGGACCCAGAAAGAGGTGTCTTCTCTTTCTGAGGAAGAAAGAGTGAGGAAGGGCTAGGTCTTCTGCCCTAACAGGGCTATTGGGTGCAGAGGAGTTGTCCCCTGAGATAAACTCTCATTCCCAGAGCCCGCTTGACCTCTGGGAAGAGCTGCTCAAACACAAAGTGACCCCTGGCATAATCAGTGGATTTGAGACTCCCTCCCTGTTCCTTCGATCTGGATCCAGGTCCCTTTGGAGCATGTACAGAAAGCCAGACAGAGGCCCCGAGAAGAGGGCTAAACGGGCTCAGTTAGGGGCACCAGGCACCCCGGCAAACCCACACAGTTCTCCTCAGTCTCTAGACAGAGAAGCGTATCTCCTGAAACGACGGATACCACCCCTTCTACAATGGAACACTGGGAACATCTAAATGGCTCATGTGAGGTGCTATTTAACCATTTCCCGTTCAGGAAAACAAAGTGCAGCTCGCTGCCAGCGTTAATTTAATTTTACATAAACACGCTCTTTGAGGCTGAAGCAAATCTGACTTATTTTCAATGTGAAAATAAGATATTAAAACTGCTCTTGGAGTTATTTCTAAACAGAACTTTTCTCTAATCCTAATGTAACAGAAATGTACACATAAATCAGATTCATCAAATGAATCTCTGGCTAGCAACTGTCTGAGAACGATGTTAACATCACGCGTAGGAATGTTACGTTTTCTAGGATTTGACATTTTCAGCGATCGAGAATTTCTATATTTTGTAAATGGAAATACCACTCCTAAAAACAGCATTCTATAAATAGAATGATGTCATTTGTTTCCAAAGTCTATCATACTAGAGCGATGCGAAAGTAATAATAAAAGTGAGATATTTCGTGGCAAACTTTGGGGGTGAGGTTACGGCTGTAATCCGTGAGTTATCTTGGGGTAAAGGATGCGGCCGCAAGCACTGCCAGGAAGGATTCTCAGGGCAAAGGGGTAACGGGTTTAAAAACTGACGTTGTGCCCACAAAATGGAATGAATATTCTATAGTCATCAAATATGATATTAAGAGTTTCTAACACAGGAACACACTTCTGTGACAAATAGCTGGCATATTAAACTATACATGTGGCATATTTCCCAAGATTCCCTTATGATATTTATGCATATACATATGTAACTGAAATTAAAAAGGCAAGAAGAAAAATCTTAGAAAGCCAACAGTGGTTAACATCTTTAAGTTGTGGTATTATGGATGATTTTTTTTTTTTTTTTGTCTCTACACTTTCTGTATTTCTAAGATGTCTATAGTTCTTTTTACAGCCATAAGAGAAATCTTTATAAATAAGTAGACGGAAGGGGAAAGTGTGTTAATGACAGAAGTTGTGATATAGTTTTTATTATTTGGACAGGATATGTCTTTAAAAATATGCTGTTTGCCAACAGTAAAAGAG